TCTCCACTATTCACTCTCCACGGTCCATTCTTCACTCTCCACTATTTACATTTCACTACTCTCTACGCACCTCTCTTCACCCCCTCATTCACCAACCACTACTCTCTACTCTCCACTCTCTACTATTTTCACTAAACTCTCCATTCGGTGCTCTCCACTTGCTGCTCGTCTATTTGCGTTTCATAATTAAAATTTCTGCTATTTTTTACGCTCGTCTTGGCAATTTCACTTTTGCTGCTCCTAGCTCAACTCATATTCGGTCAATAGACCGCGGGCCATGGCTATGCAAACTTTCCAAATTTAACGCTCTGCACAATGCTGCGCAATTCTGTTGTTTTGTTTCGCTTTTTTTCCACGTTCCCCCTCTCCCTTTCCCGCTCTCCGTCTCTCTGCTCGCCGCAGTAACAACAAGCAGCAGAATAATTACAACTAGCGAATCCTCGGGCAGAAGCTAGCCAGCTGAGGTGGATTGTGGACTGGTGTGGCTTGGCGTGGCGTGGCTAGGGCCTGAGCTTAAGCAAACAGGAAACGCATAATGAACACGCTGCACAGGCGGTCTGGCAACGCCGTCAGCGGCACACTGACTCACTCCGGCTCTTGACAATGGTTACGGCAAATGCGCTGACTCCGATTGCAACTCGCCGGCTTCGTCGACTTCAACTGGCTTTCATTCATTTTTGAGCGGTTTCGTGGTTAACAAGCGCTTCCTTATCCTTATTATTTTAATGCCTGCGGCTGCATTTCATCTTACTTACTTTTTACCCTCCAACCGTAACAATTTTTATACCATGGCATTTTCCCAGGCATTTTCCCGGCTCGGTTGCTTAAATATTTTAACTACCGCACGTATTCGCTAGCTAGTTGCGATGTCTGTCTGTCTGGCTGGCTGTCCGTCTGTCTGGCTGGCTGCCTGTCTCTGCTCGAGTCTGTCTGTCTGCCTGTCTGCCTTCGCTGTTTGGGCTTTGTGCGCATAATTGGGGTTAACTACGGCCAGGTGTGGCAGCCCCGACCGCCAGTTCGTGCCCAGTTCCGGCCTCCAGGAAGCGGAGGAAGCGCCTGGCACGCCGCCGACCATTGTGTCGAAGTGTGCTAAAAAGGAAAAGTAAAATTTTTGCCGCACTTATAAATTGTCGGACTGCAGTTATTACATTTTTCCATTTTCCATTTTTATTTTTTCTGCTTCTTAGCTGCTTGCTTTTCTTTCCTTAATTCGCTCGATGCCATTATGAGGAATTGAAAGTGAAATTTTGGAGTAAAAAGGCATAGCATTTGATTATTTACTTGGGCTTAACTAAAACATTTTCCCCACTCCACCAGAAATGGAAAACAAAAAATTCTTCATTTAAAAGTCAGCAAAAGTTGACACGCAAAATTGTGAAATTCAATTTGGGAAAACTTTATTTGTTTTATTTGTGTTGGCAACACTCGCGGTGTGTGTGTGTGTGTGTGTGTGTGGGCGTGGCAGCGGTCGTGTTGACACACGGCACACACACACGCGTGGCCATCGCTCGCTCATCTCACGGCGGGTCTCTCCGGCATTCCGTATGCCCGCTCCAGTTGGCACTCTCATCATCAATTCAGTTGATAATTATTTTTACGCGACGCAGCGAGTGCATTAAAAATGCAAATGGCAACACTTTGCCACTTTGATGGCAACGCGGCCGCCAGTGTTGTCACGTTGCTGTTTTATTAATTTATTAAATTAAAAAAACAAAGCGCAAAAGGCGCAACGACAGCGGATTCGCATTCGCATCTGTAATTGTAAATTTATGAGGAAACCAAAAAAAAGAGAGGAAAACAAGAAGAAAATAAATAAATATATACACAAAAAAAAAAGCAGGAAAACAGCAAACAGAAAGCGGTGCAGGCAAAGCAGGAGAAGGGAGAGGGAACGCAGAGAGGAGAAAGAGTTCTGCTTCAGCTGGGCGCACTGTCAATCGTGTCCCATGAATTATTAATTATTTGATTTTTCACACACACAGTGTGAGAGAGAGGGAGAGAGAGAGAGAGACAGACATACATACACTCGCCTGGCCAGTGTTGCATTGCGGCAAACGCTCGCTCTGACAGCCGCATGCAACACTGTCACTCACTCAAATTTGACGTCGAGTGAGTGGGAAACAATAAGCGAGCGCCAGGCGGCACGCCTCATTGGCGTAGCGAGGCTCTAATCAAATTATTAACCGAAATGCGCCGAGCGTGGCTAACGAGCCTGATTGCTAATGAAAGCAAAATTAGCTTAATCTAATTACCTGTCATGCATTATTGCTGCCGTTGCGTAACGAAATTCTAAAAACTTGCCTTCAAATAATTCAGCTGCGCGGATGTTTCCTCTTAGCAGGCTGCTGTAAAGAAACACACATACACACACACACATACATATATACGTGTATATAGCTGTGTCTGGGCGTAGGTAGAGTCGACTGGACCGTTGCAACCCTGTGGCCCACGCTATGCAGAGGGTGGTGCTGCTGGCCCCTTGGCTGATGATTATTATTGTGCGTGCCCTGGGGACGATGCCCTGTCTGACTGGGCCTGGGCTGCCTCCTGCTCTGGCTCCTGCTCTGACTCCTGCTCTGGCTCCTGCTCTGACTCCTGCTCTGGCTCCTGCTCTGCCTGGCCTGCACATATTTTGCCATTTCGCTCTGTGAATTATTCAGAGCTCAATCGATAAGGCCGATTGCTGCTAAAACCAATGGCATCTTCTTTAGACCGGCTGCCCCTGGCTGGCGCAGTTGCTGACAGTTTATTTGGCAAATTGCTTGCATGTAATATGAAACTTTTTCGCTCCCTCTCTCACTCTCTCCCTCTCTCTTTATACTGGCTAATTTTTAGTTTGCCAATGACTCACAGTCCAAAAAAAAAAAAGGAAAAGCAGGCAAAAAAGTGTGTGCTAAATCGAAAATCTGAAACACGCGTCACGCATTGCCGGCCGCGTGGAACGAGGAGCGCGGAGGGATCAAATCCCAGAAATCATACCACACTAATATGCCATGACTATGACTCAGAGATTTCGTTACCTCCGAGCTGCTCCTGGCTGCTCCTTGCTGCTGGCTTATCTGCAGCGTTCAAATCGGTTTTTGTTCGCCTGCAAGTCCTGCAGTCATCCACCCCTTTGCTGCCAGCTTCCCCGTTTCCTGCTCCGTTCGCTCGCTCTCTCTCTCTCTCTCTCTCTCTTTCTATGTGTCATCTGTCCGGGTTGAGCATAATTCAAAAATTTTAAATTTGAAAATCTCTTGGCACACAACATTTTTGTTGCATTATAAATCTAATTAGAATATGTGCGCACCGCAGCAGCAGCAATCTCTCTCTCTCTGTCGCACACTTGCTATAGGTGTGCCCACAGCAATCCCTTCTCACTCCTGGCCCTCATTTCATATGCTCAGCGCATCTGGCCGCATCCGCAACTGAAAATTGCCAATGGCGGCGCCTGTGCGTCTGGGCAATAAATTTGATTTGTTTCAAATTACAGCCAAAAAGCAATGAACAATTTTTATTTTGGCTTTATTTTTGGTAATTCTTTTTTTTGTTGGCCCGGGTCTCTCTCGTTTTGCTGGCTGCATTTTGTTAAGCCGCCAAATCGAATCTTACTTGCGGTTACTCTCTGCGGGCAATTTTCATAATTTACATAAGCAAATCAAATTGTAAATGGAATTTGGACTCTGGGCGGGGCGGAGGCGGAGGCGGTTGCGGAGGCACAGCTCGTGCTGAAGCTGGCGCCCGCTCTTTTATGTCACCAGCAAAACCAGCTGAAAATGAAATGAAAATGCAAAAGATGAGAAGAAGAGAAGGGATATGAAAATGGAACTATGTTGAGTGTCTGACGTAGATTTGCTCGCATTTTTATCATCCTTGCCACAAATTGTGTCAGCTTCTTGCTTACTTTGTTGCTGCGTGCTTTGTGCGTCTTTTGTTGTCAATGCGTCAAAGAATTTGGCTCAAGTGACGCCTTTATATCTGCGAGCCCAGAGTGGGAGAACTGGGGGGAGTGTACATCGAGCAGACATGAATATGCTTTGCTCCAGTCTGTATAATACGAGCCAGAGACATGTCTCACAATTGCGGCGACAATTTGCCTCACGATTTGAACTCCCAATGAAACATATTTGAGTAATACGATGACGCGATGTGTGGCGATGTTTCACATGTAATTTTTGACACAGATGCAATGTGAGGGGGGAGTATATGTATGTATGTATTTATCATGTTTTTAATGCTAGAGCGTTTGAACAATAGAAGAAATGTCAAATTTTATATATTTAATCACTTTTGTATTTCTATAAGTCCTTGTTGATTATTATCTGATTATCTTCAGATATTGGGCACTGTGAAGTTGAAGCATGTGTAAATATATACCATGACATATTCACATCCGAATGGTACATTATATATATTTTATATAATCTTATATTTGATATTTAAATGTATATTCACATCTAAATATTATACCAAAAATATATATATAAAATGGTTTAATACTTAAAATACTTACCAACATATTATTCGAGTTAATATTTGCTGTCGTTTCTTGGCAACTGAAGACGGCTTTAATTGAGATGGCCAATCAGATAAGATAGGCTCAAGTGAATTTACGTTCGAATTCGCCTGCCATGCAACGGTTGCAGTTGAAGCCCTAGTATTTATTTTGTTTTCCAACACTGTTTTTTGCTGCCTTTATATTTTTTTGGAGTGCGCTGGAACTGTCAACAAATGTCAAACGTATGACAATTAATTTTTTTCCGGTTGTGTAAATCGCATAAAAATTTTGTGGAATTGTGAAAAAATAGTTGAATAACAAACATCGAAAGACAAAGCTTGAACAAACGAAAGCGAACAATAAATGTGACGATGAATTCATTGAAAGAAAACACAACACACTCGGTTTGAGGAGCATTTCATTTAATTTTCGTTTTTCTTGTGATTTGTGAGACACGCACTAACACAGACAATTCGAGAACACACGTAAACGTACAAGCAGCTAGAGAAGGAGAGACAGAGACAGAGACAGCAGTTACAGAGAGCGAGAAATAGAGTGAGTGAGTGAGCCAGCAAGAGCTGACAGGGCTACAGCTTTTGGGACTGCTGGAAAGGCGTGTCGATTGCTGTCAAATATTTGCTCATTTTGAGGCACATAGAGAACACACAAGTCTAGAGCAATTTGGTTAAGCACACGTCCGCGCATTAGATTCTATAGGATTTTTAGAAAATTCTGCATTTGCGTGAACATTGAACTATATGTCGTTTGATTTGTGATTGCGCCGCACTGGTAGCAATGTCAACTGCGCTGGCAGCGGCGGCAAGTGCAACCGGCACGTCCACAACAGCGCCGCCAGCAGCGACCACAACAGCCACGTCCTCGACAACGACAGCCACAGCAGCATCAGCAGCAACAACGGTAACGGTAACGGCAACGGCAGCGGCAGCAGCCGCAACAGCAGCAGCAGCGGCGGCAGCCACTGCAGCGGCCGCAGCGGCAGCGGCTGCCACAGCAGCTGCGGCGAACACCAACAGACCCATGTTGCTGGAGCCCTTGCCGCAGTTTTTGGAGCAATCTACGACGAAAACAACCTATGCAGATTTTGAGGCCAGCACCAATGTAAGTCTATTGCCAACTGACGCATCCTGCCCAGCTTTAGCCAACACAACTACAAACCAAGAGCAGTATCTTCAGCAGCCATCCCAGGACGAGCAGGAGCAACACCATCATCATCAGCTGGAGCAGCAGCAGCAGGCGTTGAGTGCGGAAACAGACTCGGAAGCTGGATCGGAGTTTCAATCGGATTATCTGGATCCCAATGAGTTTCCGCTGCCCGGCGCCAGGCGAAAGAAAAAGATTCACAAGACGCTAACACAAACGTATCCGCGTCCTCCTGGCGGCTACAAATACTCGATGGGCTTCCTCTATAGCATTGGCAGCCATATGGCTGGGGTAACACTTGACATACCCACGCCCACATCCATCACGCCGCGGACACTGCGCACCTCGCCGCCGCCGCCACCCTCGCAGCTACCCCTGCTGCCCGCCGTGCCGATGGTGCCACGATCGGGCACCAATTCGCCGAGTACGGGCTTTAACGCCGCTGCAGCGGCGGCAGCGGCAGCAGCAGCTGCAGCCGCATCTTCGCCGAACTCTGCCAATGCGAACCTGTCGCCGCCCCAATTCATTTGCCCGGGCTACAGCGGCCCCCAGCGACGTTTGTGGCATGCCGAGAATGCCGTCTGGCAGTTCGATCGCAATTATCCGTACAACCAGGGCTACGCCTCGCAGTACGGCATACCGATGATGCCGCTGGGCTTCGAGCAGCATGCGTACGGGCCGCAGCGTTTCATGTTTCCAGGCTATTATAATCAGACGACAGTGCCGCGCGGCGGCTATCGCCAGGTCTCACCGAATCTGTCCACCGTCGCCGAGCAGCCCTCGGCCAATGCAGAGCCACATCAGCAGCAGCAGCAGCAGCAGCAACAGCAGCAGCAACAGCAACAGCCGCAACAGCAGCAGCAGCAACAGCAGCAGCCGCAACAACAACAGCAGCAACAGCAGCAGCAGCAACAGCAGCAGCCGCAACAACAACAGCCACAGCCGGAGGCGGCAGCAGTTCCAGATGGTTTCAATGGCGGCTTTCCGCCAGTGGATCGCTTCGGCCGTCCGACTGCATCGACGCCACGCGAACGCTTCGGTCATGGCCGCCATGCGAATGGCCCGATTTCCTTTGCCCGTGAGTCCAAGACGTTCTACAATAGCAATGGCAACGTTACTATGGGTGCACCGGGCACTCGCATACGCCATCCGTTTGATCCGCGCTCAGGACTGCAGCGCGGCTCCCAGCAGCAGCAGCAACAGCAGCAGCAGCAACAACAGCAGCAGCAGCAAGCTGCCGTCTCCTTGCACAACGGACACAATGCGGCTGCCATGGAACCGAACAACATGAACCGACGCGGTGGCTATCAGGGGGGGAGTGGCAACTACCACGCCACATCGGGCCGCCATCTGAAGCGCTCGAAGAGCCAGTTGACAACAGCGCGCAGCTCGCACTCCTCGGACTCGGTGTCGCCGTCGTCGTCGAAGACGCAGTTCGAGCAGCGCGTGGAGCCGGCGTCCACTGTGTCGCTGGCCTCGTACAATCACCAGCAGCGCAGCTATCGCAATCGGGCGCGCTACCTGACCGCCAATGTGGGCATGGAGCTGGTGGGGCAGCAGCGCGGCCAGCAGCAGCCGGCTGGCAATTATCAGCCGCCGATGCGGCGCATGCCCAAGTTCACGGAGATGCAGCGCCAGCATACGCGCTCGTATCAGTCGCGTCACATGGAGCATGCCGGCTACTCGCTGCCCTTGGCCCCATATCCGGAGGCGCAAATGGAGCTGGACGATCAGGACTCGCCGGGCATAAATGCTGCCAGCAGCGGCACCTCGGACGGTGACCATCATCATGAGTCGGACTTTGAGCAGCGCAGCCCCGTCGAATATGGCGTTCCGATCAATGCGGAGTTCTCATCGGATGTCGATCTGCAGGGCAACAACCAGACGAACCGCTCCAACTGCGGCGACTGCGACACACAGTCGTTCGCCAGCCTGGAGCCGAGCTCGTCCAGCGAGAGCACGGAGAGCGAACAGAGCGACGCGTCGCTGGAGTCGATGGTGCGGAAGATAACCATAAGCTGCCTGGCCCTGGCCACCAGCGCTCAGATGCCCGACCTGAAGGGGCCGAACCTGATACCCTTTGGGGATATGCATCACTTGCGGGAGTCTGAGCGCAAGGGTCAGCATGGCGCACGGAATGGCTTCAAGTGCTCGTCGCACTGCTGCGGCGATATGCTGGTCGAGCCGAAGGCAACGCAGCTGGTGCGCGCCAACGAAACGGATGAGGACAATTGCTCTGAGGCATCGGCCATAGCCTCCAGCAAGACCCTGCTGGCCGTCTCCACCAAGGGCAATATCATTAAGGTGGGCATTTCTATTATTTATCTTGTTTCTATTCCCTTCATGGGATTGAGTTTGTTTTGCGTTCCCTTCGCCTAGGACGACATGGATGACGATCAGCCGTTGACCATGCAGAATCGCTATTGGCACGAGTTCTTTGGCTATACGCCGGCCGATCGCTTTCTGACCCGCACCAAGATGGTGGAAATGAAACGTCCACCGCACTCGGTGCCCAGCCGCTCCAAATGGGATCCCCTCACGCTGGCCATTTGGCAGAAGTTCCGCGAGGCTCAGCAGACTCGCCACATTTTCAAGACCAAGATGCGCCTCTGGCGCTTCATCTACAAGGTGACTATGGTGGGTATAGATCACTCAATAGAGAGTTGGTTGATGGTGGGTGGCCCCTGCTAATCGTGCTACTTTCGTAGGCCGTCTATCCGCGCTACGGCGTCTATCTGGTGGGCTCCTCCATATCGTTTTTTGGCTCCAAGTGCTCCGACATGGACATCTGCATGCTGGCCTGCACCAATCACAACATCGATCCCCGCATGGAGGCCGTCTACCACTTGCAAATCATGCGCGAAATGCTGAATGCCACCGAACAGTTTCAGGAGTTCAATTTGATTGAGGCGCGCGTGCCGATCCTACGCTTCACGGATCGCCGCCACAAGGTGGAGGTGGACATCAATTTCAACAATTCGGTGGGCATACGGAACACCCATTTGCTCTACTGCTACTCGCAGCTGGAGTGGCGCCTGCGTCCGATTGCGCTCACCATCAAGCAGTGGGCGCAGTACCACAACATCAACAATGCCAAGAACATGACCATCTCCAGCTACTCGCTCATGCTGATGGTCATACACTTTCTGCAGTCCGGCGTCAGTCCGCCGGTGCTGCCGTGCCTGCACAAGATGTATCCGGAGAAGTTCAGCATTCTGCAGCCGACTGACTTTGGCTATGTGGACATGAACGAGGTGATGGCCCCGTATCAGTCGGACAACCATCAGACGCTGGGCGAGCTGTTGCTCGATTTTCTGCACTATTACAGCATCTTTGAGTACAGCAAGTTTGCGATTTCGATACGGGTCGGCGGCGTGCTGCCGGTGGAGACATGCCGCTCCTCGAAGGCGGCCAAAAACGATATACACCAGTGGAATGAGCTGTGCATCGAGGAGCCGTTCGATTTGACAAATACGGCACGCTCCGTCTACGATCCGGATACGTTCGATCGGATTCGTGCCATCTTCTTGGCCTCGTACACTCGATTGGAGTCCACCCGTAATTTGAATTCCATCTTCGAGGACTACGACGGCCCCACCATACAGATGGCACCGGTCACCGAAGAATCGGACAACGAGACGGCCCTCAAGCAGGCGAGCGCCGCATCCTCCAAATCGAACAGCGCCCAGCCATCGCCCAGGCACATGGTGGACAAGGCGACCACGGCTCTGTGGAGCGACATACGCAGCAAGGTGGAACAGTCCGAAATGGTGTCCATTGTGGAGGAGCATGTCCTTAATTTGGCCAAAGAGGCCAAGCAAAAGAAAAACGCACGCGCCCCCCAATAATTGCATGAGAAATGAAAAACTGCGGCCACGCACCCAACATCAACAAGCAAAGAAAAAATGTATTAAAAAACAGTGATCAACCGTTTCCTTCCTTCTCTCAACGAAAAAACCCTCCGCAAGAAAAGAAAAAAAAAAAAATTAGCAAGAAAAGAAGATAAGAAATACGCAGAAGAATTATCGAACCGTCCAAGAGTCGCCCTCACGCACCGGCCTTAGACCTGAGCAGCAATCATTAGTTGCGCGCTAATGCCAGACAGCTGTCCCATCCGAAAGTGTACAATTTTGATAGAAACGATCGTAGTTGCTTGTAGCTTGCACCGGAACAACACTTTTAAATTTTACGTTGGACACTTCACAATTTAGATTCTTGACATTCTTGAAAGATTCCTTCGCAAGCGATAGTCTCCCTGAAAAACAAAAAATAATTTTTTCAACTCTAATCTTTCGTAAATGTGGTCGCAAAAAAAATCACTATTAGTACAAATACAAACAAAAAACATCGAGCAAAAGCATCCAAGAGCAAAAAATATAGATATATATATAGATATAAAAAATGAATATAAAAAAAATTTTAGAAAAAAAATATTAAAATCCAGTCAAAAAAAATATAAAAAAAAATGAAGCAAACAAGCAGCATAAACTCCCAACCCAAATAATCATGATATATATAACGAAATGCACAATAATCATATAGAAATCATCTCCAGAGAGAGATCAGGTATACCCGTTAGAGGAATAGAGAGGGTCATGTAGGAGCTTAACCATTTTATACTCTTAGTACAACGTATGCACATTCTCACAGTAAACACTTTCACATATTTTTGTAGAAAACCAATCAAAAAATGTAAAAAATGCGCTAATGTCTAAACAAAATATGGGATAAACAACGGCCAATCCAGAACTCCATTCGGAATGACCAAAAAAAAAACTCGTTTTCAAAATAGACAGCGCTAAAAAATATCAAAAAAAATTTAAAAACACACGAATAAAAAGTAAAAAAAAAAAA